CTTACGACGCCACCAAATTCCCGCAAGCTTAGTGAGGTAGAGAGAAGCAGTGCGTACCTTAGCCATTTCATCATTTAAGTTCAAGGCTTTGAAATACCTCTCTAAGTGCCAGATGTAGTCGTCTAGCTCCTTGGCGTCGCTTTTGCCATTGAACTCCTTGGACTGTGGTGCCTCAAGCCTTGGAGTGAATCTCGCATTAGTGGTAACGCCACCACTAGCCACAGCTCGCTTGCTCATGGCCCAGTCCGCCCGTGTCTCCTCCAAGCCTTCCTTTAGCTCTTGGACTTGGTCTTGGAATTGAGAGATTGCCTTCAAGATCCGTTCTTCAAAGTCATAGCTTTCTTGCTTGTGGGTCTCATGGTTGGTCCAGATGGTGTCCCACACGAACTCAAGCAATTCCTCGACTTGGCCTTCCACCTTGCCATCGAGTTGCTCCATCCCTTGTTCCAATCGATCCAACCACTCCTTGACATCGGCCATAGCCACTTCAACCTAGACCACTCAGGTCTCCATGGCACTCACGATGTCGCGTGACTTATTTTTGGCCTTCTTGCCCAAGTTTGCAGCAGTCTCCCTTCAGCGGTTCTCTTCGATGTGAATTACTTCCGACATAGGGCCCTTCCTTCCTTAGTTACGACGCCTTCATAAGCTTTGGCTCTGATACCAACTGCCACGGCCTTGGTTTTTCCAAGCCAACCATGCGGCCTTAGATGCTTATGCACGCCTTGCTTGCACCTAAGTAAGCCTTCTTTGGAAGAGAGTTAGGAGAAGTTTGCACACACAAGAGAGACTTAGAGAAACTTAGAGAGAGCTCTTGGAGAATGCTTTGTTTATATTGCTTGAATGCTTTGGATTACACTTGGTTACTTGGGTGGTTTGGGCAAATGAGGCCCTCCCCCTTTTATAGGCTTACAAAGAATGTTCTAGGCCTAGTATGATGGAGAGTGTTCTAGACACTTCCTCCACCTTTATCTTGTGGACTATTCTAGAAGTATTCTAGTTCTACATGGATGGAGAGGATTCTAGATCCTTCCATCATCCTCTCAAAGAACCTATTCTAGAAGTATGTTCAAGCTTCTAGTCTTATGTACAATTGTCTACAATACTCTAGGGAGTTCTAGAAGCTTCCAGCATCCTCCATGGTTTTCATATTTTCTCAAGTCTTTCAAGAGCTTCCAGAATATTCCCTAAGCCTCCCTTCCTTGAGACTTTCTTTTGGTAGGTAATTCGGCGGGTCGTGACACTAGGACATGTACAGGACATGGCATGTCCCTTTAATTTTATTATTTTTTTTGTAAGGGACCCATTTGATGGGAATTAAAGCTTGGTTTGGTTTGGTTTTTTGACACGACAGAGACACACTGGTGACACGCGTGTCCAAATCTGGACACATCAGGGGACACAGCGAGGGTATTTTTTTATTTTGTAAATGTCTTTTGGGGTCAAACTGTAAAATTAAGAAAGTAAAAAAAGAATATTGTTAAATGTTAAATTTTTTCCTTCGTCATCTTAGCTCTTATCATTTATTATGTCTTTTTTTGTGGATAGGTGATCTACTAATTTGTTTAAATGTAGTGATTTATATATATATATATATATATATATTTTAAAAAAATTGCTATGTCCCCATCTTTTTTAAATCACCGTACCCGTGTCCATGTCTGTGCTTCATAGGGGATGTGGTTCCGGATGGCATTTTGAGAATATTTACAATTTTTTATGAGACATGTTTGTTTCAAAAAAAGCCTCGATGTTAATTGGAGGGGCATACAAACATCTGGCATAAGTGTTGTCTAATCGTCTTAAGGATAGCCTTTGGTGGTGTCACATTCCAAGAATTCATCTGTAGGAGGCTAATGAATTCTTCATGTGGTTTTGGTTGCCATTAACGCAATGGATTATAGAATTAGAAGGGGTAGAACCTGGCTAATTTGCAAGCTGGTTATTGAGAAGATTTATAATCATATTAATTGGGATTTCATTATTTATTGCTCTGGGAAATGGGGTTTAGTCTTAAATGGAGTGACTGCATTTGTCTACTGTTAGGGTGTCAATTTAGAGGGTTGCGTCAAGGAGATTCGTCTCCTTTGTTGTATATTTTGGCTATGGAAGTTTTCAGCAAAACGATTGAGAAGGTTGTGCAAGGGGGCTTTCTTAACGGATTTAAGATTGAGATTGGTCAGATCAATGGATCTCTCTCTTATCAATCTCCCATCTGCTTTCTCTTATCAGTCTCCCATCTGCTTTATGCCGATGATAATACTATCTTGTGTAAGACCGAGACACAACGAATGAGTTACCTCCGATGTTCCTCCTTTGCATTTGGAACATTTTTGGTCAAAGTTTAATCTTGGAAAATCCAGCATAATCCCAATAGGAGAGCCGCGAATTTGGGGATGTTGGTTTCCATTCTTGGTAGCAAAATAGATCAGTTGCCAATGGCTTATCTGGGTCTTCCTCTTGGTTCCTCCTACAAGCCAAAATTGGTTTGGGATATGGTGATTTGGAATGTTCATAGGCTTCTTGCAGGGTGGAAGAGACAATATCCTTCCAAAGGGGCTAGGCTGGCTTTGATTAAAAATACGTTATCTAGCTTGCTCACTTACTCTATGTCTCTTGTACCATCACATCTTCAACTCTTAAGCAATTGGAGAGGCTATAACATGATTTTCTTTGGGGAGGTGTAGGGGACAAGTTCGAATACCACCTTGTGGATTGGGGCCAAGTTGAAATACCACCGTATCGATTGGGACACCATTTGCACCCCTTAGAGAGAAGAGGGGGGCATTCATATGTTTTCCATCTTTAATCAAGCTTTGTTGGGGAAATAACTATAGAGATTTGCTTGTGAAGGAGAAAGATAATGAAAGGTGGTGGAGTTAAATATGGAAATATTTGAGGTGGGTGAACTTCCGAGATCTTTCAATCTTATAGGTCAAGTTTATGGAAAGACAATTAGAATAGATGTGATTTTTGGTCAAGCCATGTTCGGTTTGTGGTAGGAAATGGGAACCGGGTGAGGTTTATGGAAAGGCATTGCCAACGCGGCTCATATTGCTTTTAATAGAAAGACTACACTACTGTTAGGGTTCCCCTCAATGCAAAGGGTGTGATGTTTTTTGGGATATTTCCTGAGGAAGGATCTTAATGTTTGGAAATTGGTGGAGATTATGCATTTTCTTGATTGTTTGTATGCTATCCGTTTTGGTGATGGGGGTGATTTGATGGACGAAATCCTCTTCTGACCTCTTCAATGTAAAGTCTTTCTATGTTGCTCTCTTTGGCTGAACAAGGCTCCTTTTTCCATGGAATGGGGTCTGGGGCACAAAGGCTTGAAGGTGGCTTTCTTTGTGTGGTATGCGGCACATGGAAAGATTCTTACATTGACAACCTGATCAAAAGAAGGCAATTGCATGTGAACTGGTGTTGCATGTGTCTGGATGGGGAGTCGATGAGTCATCTTCTGATTATGGAGTGGGTGTTCCCTTCGACAGTTCGAAAGTTGCTATGATTGTAGACCACAGTTCAAGTTGGGAGGAGAAGGAAGGAAGCTTGGCATTTGGTGCCCTATGTTTTGATGTGGTTTGTGTGGGCAAAAAGGAGTAGAAGAACTTTTACCGGCAGAGAATAGCCTATTTCTATATTATATAGTACATTTTCACCTTTTTCGTATAATTAACATTTGAGAATGATCTCTTTATCCTTAAATCAATTTGACTTTCGTAAAGACCGCTGAATAGGTTTTTGAAGTATAGTATTTGATTTATGTTCTTTTCTATACATGTTGCATCCCCTTGGTGTTTCATTTATATAAGCATTCATACTTATAAAAAATAAAAATAAAAATAAATTAAAAATAAATAAATAAGCATAATTCTTGCAATCTTCCAATTCTAAATTTAAGTGTTGCCAAGACAAGTTTCACCATAATAAGAAAAGATGATACATTTTTCACCCTAGCATTTTCAAATTCATAATTGCATGGACAATCATCTGGTACAATTTTATTCACAACAATTCCATTCTAGCACATAGAACTCATAGAAGACACGGGCAAACTCATTTTGTGAGACCTGTTTTTGAAGCTACTTCTTCTCTCATAGCTAAGACTCAAACAAAAAACAACCCATGCGTTTTTCTGATTTTGCTGGTCTCCTTTCATCCTAAAGATGGTTGCTAGGGTGATTGGAATTTTAGGACTTTTATGTGTTAGGGATTTTTTTGTCTTTACGGATTTCATATTAAATTTTTTCTCTATATGCATTATTACAATTGATTGTTTTCTAGTTTAGAATAATATCTTGCATGCAATCATTGAACCTTTTTATGGAATTATTCAGGACCGGTTGTCCTTTGGGACATCCCAAATTAAAAAATAAAATAAAAAAATAAAAACTAACAAAATGGAACAGAGGGAGTACTTATCAAAAAAAGAATAATGGCATATGTTAGATGGATCACTTCTGGCTTTTGTTTTTGTTGCCGTTACTCATTTTATTGGCCAACACATACAACCAAAATGTATCACTTTTTCTTAAAAAAATGATGTGTCGGGTTTTTGTATCGTGTCACACCTAATTGTGCTTTTTAAGTAAGGTTTTCTAAGTTTTTGTGCTTAGGCACCCTTATGAGCTCTTTTTATGCACGACTCGCTAGGTGTGAGCACCTATTTGTGTAATTGTCAGGTAAGTTTCATTTGTAGCGAGATTTTACCAACGTATTGTACTATTTATGTTACGCATTAACAAGTGATTGTGTGTTTATGTTTTAAACGGCTTCTCATTTATCTTTCGTTATTGATTCCATCATGCACTCTAATCCAACAATATGTTATTGCCCATTTGAAATTCTAATCATCAACCCTACTATCAATTAGTTGCATACACTTTGAATCATACAAATACCAATGTAAAACACACAAATCACACAACAATTACTTGAAGCAAATAAAATAAAATAAAATAATTAGAAAAATTCGAGAATGTAATCAAATTACATACCCGGAAGCGTCAACAATAGTCCTCGAAATCTTCATCTTCTTCTTGGCACCCTTATAAAGCTCCTCCAGACTACAGGGCAACGCATTCTCCACCGCAGCGGCCTTCTTCGACGCCGCGGAAGCCGAATTACCGAACTCCCCAGTGGAAGTCCTAAAAAACCCGTCCTTAAAAGTCCGACTCCGACTAGAAGCGGCGGCGGCGGCGGCGTCGTTGGCACCAAACATCTCGGCATAGATATCCTCGGCGTCCCGGGGATTGAAGCGAAAGGATGGGTTAGGGTGCTGGTGGTTGTGGTGGTTGTGGAATTGAGAGGAGGCGGCGCGAGAGGCGGAGGGAGGCGGAGGAACCTGGCCGGACTTGAGGGCTTCCTCGCCGTAGAGATCGTAGATCTGACGCTTCTGGGGATCGCTGAGGACGTCGTAGGCTTCGGAGATCTGCTTGAACTTGGCCTCGGATTCGCGCTTGTTGCTAGGGTTTTTGTCAGGGTGCCAAATCATGGCGAGCCTACGGTAAGCTTTCTTGAGGTCTTCCTCGCTTGCATTTCGATTCACTTTCAGAATATTGTAATAATCCATCCCCATTTCCGACTCTCTCTCTCTCTCAAATCATCAAGTTTCTCTCTCTAAAAGTATAAATGCATGTATAGGTTGAGGGAGATGAACAAGAACACAAGAACAAGAACAAGAACACCAAGGTTGAGGAAAGGAAGGGCTATGGTGTTTGGCGCGAGAAGGGGGCAGCGATGGATCACACGGTTACGAATATCTCTCTCTCTCTCTATTTTCTCTCTCTCAAATAAATAGTAGTCAGAAAAAGTCTGAAAGTATCCCGACGGAGAAATTATTTAATATTTTCGGAGTTTTTAGTGAGAAATTAAAAATTAAAAGAAAAATACTAAAATTGGAGCAAGTTTTGGTAGTGCTCTAAGATTCTTTTGGCAAGTTACTTAAAATTTAATTTTTTAATTTTTTTTTAAATTATATTATTTTTTTATTTTTTTATATATTATTTAAAAAAATTAAAAAGTTAAGTTTAATTTGTTTGTCAAAATACTCCAAAATCAATAGTTATTGATTTAAATCATGAAATTTATATTTTTGTGTTAAAATTTTAAAAATAAAAATATTAAATATCAGTAAATAAAATAGACTAAGAGTTATGATAAGGATCTCAAATATTCTACTAAATGGGACTTACGCACATGTAAATTTGCGTGAGTCTCACCCCATACAAGAGATTTGGTAAAATTTATATGGATTTGGTAAAATATTTAGTAGAATATTTAGGAGTTGTTTGGTAATGACTTTTTTAGTTGGTTTTTTAATTTTTTTTATTTTTTTAGCCTGAGACTTTTTTAGCTGTTTAGTTTCTTGTTTGGCTTTTTTGATTTTTTTACCTTGGAATGACAAAATTGCCCTTAGGCCTCGTTTGGCAAATTAACATTTTAGTCAAAAAATCAAAAAGTTACTAAAAAGCCAAAAAACCTATAACATATACTAAAAAGTCAAAGATTCTCTTTTCTCCCTATTTTTTGCATATCTTTTCTTAAAAAATCAAAAAATCATCCCAAACATATTAATTTTTTTTATCTCATATTTTAACCAAAAAGTCAAAAAGTTATTAAAAAAATCTGTTCCCAAATAAGTAACTTTTTGGCTTTTTGACTAAAATATTAGGTAAAAAAACTAGTATGTTTGGGGTAAATTTTTGACATTTTACAAAAAGATGTGTAAAAAGTAAAAAGAAAATAGAATTTTTGACTTTTTTGTATGAGTTGTTGACTTTTTAATTTTTTACTAATTTTTTTGTTTTTTTACTAAAAGAGCACTTGCCAAACGAGGTCTTAGTATAAAATGATACTTTTTTGACTTTTTATTTATATATGGAATAATTTAATACTTTTGTAACTTTTTTATCTTTTTGTAATTTCTTTTAACTTTTTATAATTATATAGTCAAAAATGAAAACCAAATCGAGGCTTAAGATACATATTGAATAATTTATAGGACGACTTGTTTATAGCGCTGCGGAGATTTTGGAAGACGTGTTGATGTTAGGGGTGGGCGCGGGTCGGTTGCGGCCACGAAACCTCCAATCCGCCATCCGTCCACCAGATTGGCGGATTGAAGAAAATCAATCCGCATCCGTCCGCCAATCCGGCGGATGTGGATTGAGCGGATTGGCGGTTTGGCGGATGGATGCGAATCGGTTTGGCGGTTTAAAATTTTATAAATTTTCAACATAATTCAACTTGATTTGGTAAAATATTTAGTAGAATATTTAGGAGTTGTTTGGTAATGACTTTTTTAGTTGGTTTTTTAATTTTTTTTATTTTTTTAGCCTGAGACTTTTTTAGCTGTTTAGTTTCTTGTTTGGCTTTTTTGATTTTTTAACCTTGGAATGACAAAATTGCCCTTAGGCCTCGTTTGGCAATTAACATTTTAGTCAAAAAGTCAAAAAGTTACTAAAAAGTCAAAAAGCCTATAACCTATATCAAAAAGTCAAAAATTCTCTTTTCTCTCTACTTTTTGCATATCTTTTCTTAAAAAATCAAAAAGTCATCCGAAACATATTAATTTTTTTATCTCATATTTTAACTAAAAAGTCAAAAAGTTATTAAAAAAATTTGTTCCCAAACAAGTAATTTTTTGGCTTTTTGACTAAAATATTAGGTAAAAAAACTAGTATGTCTGGGATGAATTTTTGACATTTTACGAAAAGATATGTAAAAAGTAAAAAGAAAATAGAATTTTTGACTTTTTTGTATGAGTTGTTGACTTTTTAATTTTTTTACTACTTTTTTTGTTTTTTTATTAAAAGAGCACTTGCCAAACGAGGTCTTAGTATAAAATAATATTTTTTTGACTTTTTATTTATATATGGAATAATTTGATACTTTTGTAACTTTTTTATCTTTTTATAATTTCTTTTAACTTTTTATAATTATATAGTCAAAAATGAAAACCAAATCAAGGCTTAAGATACATATTGAATAATTTATAGGACGACTTGTTTATAGCGCTGCGGAGATTTTGGAAGACGTGTTGATGTGTAGGTAAAGGAAAGGCGAGAACTTCTATTGTATGTGAGGGGATCTGGTGGGACCCAATTTGTATTATTGAGTCGACGAGCAGACAGGAGCTCGTAACGGCTATCCCCCAAATTTCACACGGCTGCCTGCTAAGTGTACACCATTTTTTGTAGGAGTTTCTTTTTTTTCTTTTTTTTAACTATTGAACAAGAGCAAGTTTGGAAGCTAGTTTTTTTGGGTCAAGAAATAAAAAAATTATTATCAAAAAGTTTATTAAGTTTATTATTTTTTCTATTTTTTTACATATTTTTTATAAATAATTGAAAATTTAACTAAAATAGTTATTTTTCAAAATAATTCTTATTTTCAAAAAAGAAAAAAATTATAATTTTACAATATCATAAAATATTAAACTCTATCGCTTACTCTTAGGCCATGTTTGATTGGAAGTTTATGAAAGAAAATTAGGCTGTGTTTGGAATGATTTCCAAAATATAATTCTATCCATACATTCTAACTTCATGTTTGGATACGACTTTCAAATTGTATTAACACAACAAAGAGAAAACTCTGTCTCAGGCGCGATTTTCAAAAAAAAATTTTCAAATTTGGCCTAACCGGTCGTCCCACCGGACGTCCGGCCAGTTGACTGGAATAATGCAATTTTTTTTTTTTTTTTTTCAATTAACATATATTAATTTTTATATATTCGAAAAAATATTTTCCGAATTTTTAAAAAAAATTTATGTGTTTTAATAGAATTTTGAGTTATATGTTTGGTTATGAGTTGTAAGTTTTTGTATCAAATATCATATGTCACATCAAAAATTTCCCACTCAATTCAAAATTCTTTTCAAAACTCTTTCACCAAACAAATTTTTCACACTCAAATCATAATTCCAAAACTCATAAACTCAAAATATAACTCCTACTCTCAAATCATAGTTAGAAAGCTCTACCAAACGCAACCTTAAATTACCAATACGTGAAACCCACTTAACTCATGTTTGTGTGCAACAAAATTCCATGGGATTAGCAATCCCATGAGAATATGAATTGCCTTCCATTGATGGGATTAACATTATCATGGGAGGGTTGGGATTACTAATCCCCTTACGTGGATTGATGGTAAAGCATTAATTTGCCTCTTGTTTTACAATATCAACAAAGTTATATTTTATGTGAGAAAGATTTTTTGTGAAGCCTCCGAAAATTTTATTTTCTTAAAAGTCTTTTACTTTTGGAATATTGTAATAAAGACCCTTGATTTCCTAAATAATTTCACCTTTAACCCTAGAAGCAAAAATTCGCAATCACTAGTCGATTTCGATAACTTAAGAATTATTTCTAATACCCTAGTATAGATTAAATAACTCCCTAAATATGGATTTACCACTTGAAACCCTATGTTTTTTCCGATTTTCCTCATGTTCGTTGATTGGTAGTCTTTTTATTCGAAACAAGAAATCTAAACCAAATTAAATTCTCTAACCCTAATTCAATTTAATTCTACACTTAAATAAAAATTTCAATTCATAAATTAAAGCCAAAACCCTCACATTGTTATTAAATTACCAATTGACCTCAAGTTAGTACTATTATACATATATATATATATATATATATACTTTTACCTTTAAATCTATTTAAATAAATTATACACTATATTTTGAAATCCCATCAATTATACACAAAATAATAATAATAATAATTCCCTCAAATCCACCACACATAGCAGGCCACCCTAGGGAAAAGAAATGTATACAACTTTTTTGAACAAATCCATGAATTCATAGAAAAGTATTCTAGTACATCCTAAAATATGGAACCTTGTTTCCACCTCAAGTTCCATCCTAACTAAAGCCTAACTTGATCATGATTAATTGCATAATTAAGGCCTCTAATCATCTACTATTCCACTAAGTTCAAAGTAAATCCAAAATATCCAATCAATTTCCAACCAATGGGCAATTTAGACCTTTCGAGCCAATTTTAGTATAAATAAAACCTCTCCCTTAGCATTTTGCATACAAGAACACACACACACAAACAACCTATTCAGCTGAGAGGAAGAAAGGGCAAGAGAGTGAGCTCGATGGAGGAAAGGAGAGAAAAAGAAGGTTTTGTTAGCAAACCAACCATGCCTCAAGTAAGCCACATCACCATCTCTCCTTCTATTTCTTTTTTAAATATATGTTATTAGAGATTTAAAATCATAATTTCAGATGTGTTGTAATGGTGTTCATATGTTTAAAGTTGATGAATTGGGCTTTAATCATTCTTCTACTCATATTTCCTCTTAATAGATGCAAAAGTACATTTTTCTTCTCATATCTCACATTATTTCCAAAGGCATACCATCACTCTAAAAATATAAGTTATTGATACATTATTTAGTATGTTTTCATCACAAATAAGTGAAAAATTTCCCTTAGTTGGCCTATTTTCTCACCAATCTTCTTATTTTGAGTATCGTGCATGAAAAACCAGTTTTACAGCCAACTTTCTAAAATTCTAAAAAAAATGTAGAAAAATCTCCTGGACCTTGGTTTTATGTCAAAAACTTCCTTAAAGAGTTAGCTTTCAAGGAAAATTGGTTTCATTGAAAAATAATGAGCGGTTTGTAAGAACATCCGATTTTTGTAACAGTCGACGAATCTGGACAGTACTGGAGTGTTTCTTAAATAACTAAAAACATAGAAAAGCTATTCCATTTCTGAAAAATGTTCTGAAAACTAGATAAAATTCTTTATGAACCATAGGAAGGCCAGGCTCAAG